AAGGAGAAGATGAATACACTGAGCAGGATAGAAATGTCACAGCCCCAGGAAAGATGTATCCTGGGATATATCTGTGGGATTAAACGCATTGTTCACTAAGATAATACTCTCGTTGCTTGGGAATCTTTTTGCTTTGAACTCTGATCTGGGTTTATTATTAGGGAAATTTTCATGCCTTGAATAATTACTATCTCTGCAGGAAACCTCCATTCAGGCACTTGTAGATGCTCCATCATGGTTTTGAGGGTAATATACCTGCAAGTTACTTGGAAGATACATACAGTAAAAAAAGAGGGCATGCTCCTCATGCAAACACAACTGCACAAAAACATCCACTTCACAGACATTCTGGAGCCACCCGCACTCCCCGCTCAGTGAGGACAAAACCTACATCGCAGCTACTCACCAGAGCTAACACTGCTTCTCCTCCTCAGTGACTTCTCCCCTTCAGCTCCGAGTCTCCTGGTACTAGCAGAAGAAAGGATAGTTCATGTTACCATGCTCAGACACATAAACTTCGCTAACTGATTTGGGTCAGAGAAAGTGTCCTTCTACCATCAACAGGACCAAACAAGGTCAAACACCAAGGATTCTTAGACGCCTCTGAGAGACATCTGGGGAGAACAGAGAGTATTCGCTCTACGATGGAATATGATGCACCGCTCTGAAAACTTGCTCCGTGAAAACACCACGATGAATTTCACATGGCTATTTCATCTATTAAGGCAACCTTCAATGCAGGACAACTGGTGTCTTAAGGGAGGCAGAGAAGATACAGTCCAACTGAGAAGAGAGAAAGAAGGCTATCTATTCCCACACTGAGAGCCAAAGCCACGCCTTACTGTCTTTATAAACAAACTTCTCTGCAGATTCTGACTTTAACTCCCTCATGCCAAGACACTGCCAAAGCTTTGGAGGCAGCAGTCTCCCTGACCCAAGTAAGCAATAAACTCAGCTTCGTCTTCAGCAGGTTCTGCTGGTATTGTCTGGGGAGTGACAGACCAGATGTGATGGAAGAACTCCAACCCACAACCTCTTTAGCAAGCAGCTCAGAAGGGTCCGGACTTAGGTCGCTGACC